ATCCATTTAGACCAAATCCAAATCCAGCTGTGCCACCAATGCTAATAAAATCTGAATCGATGAATGCTTCATAATGGGTGAAAATACCTCGTTGTAATCAATGCCCTCAAGCTGTGCATATCCCTTAGCAATCAATCTGGTTTTATACCTAATGTCTCTAATAGAAGACCCATTTTCTTTATATATACCCACTTGCAACCAATAGCCTTCTTACCCTTAGGTAGCTTTGCAACTTTCCAAGTGTCGTTCTTCTGAAGAGACCGCATCTCCTCATCCATAGCTTTCCTCCACGTGATCGAATCAGGGCTTGTCTCTGCCTCCCTAAATGTGGATGGAACCATATCATCAACGACCTCTACTGATAATGCATATGTGACCATAACATCATTATACCTAGCTGGCCGATGAATCACCCTTCTAGGTCTATTATCTACAATAGACTCCTGAACATGACCCTGCTCTTGAGTCTCACAATCCATTGTATCCTCTATCCGCCTGGCTGTCATCTCATCTCCTTCTAGTATCACCTCTGTAGGAGCCTCAATGGATACAATGCTATCTGGAGTGGGTGGAGTCACATCATCCTCCACCTGCTATGATATCTCTCGAATCTGGTCTTCCTACACCTGCCGAGGAACTTGAGACTTCATCATATACGCCTCATCAAATGTGACATCCCTGCTAATAACTATCTTCTTGTCCTATGGATCCCATAACTTGAAGCTTTTAATTTCATCTCTAAATCCCACAAAGAATGTTTTCCTCACCCTCGGATTTAATTTACCATCACTAATATGATAATAAGCAGGATACCTAAATATCCGAAGTGACTCATAGTCACTAGCTACCGAGCCAGACCAACGCTCCAAAGGAGTCTTCCCTTGTATCGAAGTACACGACAACCTATTAATGAGATGGATCGCATAAACCAACGACTCAGCCCAAAAGGATCTATGCAATCCACTCTGCGTCATCATACATTGCATCTTTTCCAGCAAGGTACAGTTCAATCTTTCAGCCACTCCGTTCTGTTACGGTGTCTCTCGAACTGTGAAGTGTCGCCTAATGCCGTGATCTCAGTAAAATTACAAAAACAGATTACTCTTATACTCTTCACCATTATATGAACGTAGAGTCTTTACCTTTTTACCTGTTTGTAACTCCACTTTCTTTTTTCACTTCACAAAAATATTCAGGACCTCATGTTTATGCTTCATAGGGTATACTAATTCCTCCTGGAATAGTCATCAATAAAAATGATAAAATAGTTAGCCCCACCAAGTGATGTGTTCTTAGAAGGGCCCCAAACATCTGTGTGAATATAATCTAATATACCTTGGGTATTATGAATAGCGATGCCAAACTTCACTCTAGTCTTCTTCCCAGGTACACAATGCACACACAACTCCATCTTACATGTTTTAGCACCTTTCAATAGCCCCTGTTTCACCAATGACTGCAGGGACTTATCACCTGTGTGTCCTAATCTCATGTGTCATAAGGTGGTAATGTCCTCCTCTGTAGTGATAGAAGCTGTCAGACCTCCTGTAACTGTCTTTCCCTTTAAGTAGTATAGAAAGTTTTCCCTAACTCCTCGCATCACCACCGTAGAACCATTTGTGACCTTCACAGTAGTATCCTCTAAGGTCACCCGATAACTAGCTGTCTCCAAAGTACCAAGAGAAATAATGTTCTTCGTCAACTGCGACCCGAACCTTACTTCTTTCAACTCCCTCACCACACCGTCATGCATCCTGATCCGAACTGAACTAATACCACCAATAGGACATACGTGGTCATTACCCATAAGCACGACATCCCCTATTTCTAGCCCCTTAAAGCTGGAGAACCAGTCCCTCATCGGGCAAATATTATATGTGGCTCCCAAATCTAACATCCACTACGTAGAGTCGGCATAATAAACCGACGGTAGTACATAGCATGAATAGCCCGAAGAATCTAAATCTGAATGTTCACCAACACCTTTTACAACATTCACTTCTGAAGTTTGTACAACTTTTCCTTTGTTCTTCCCGACCTTTTCCTTCCACTTTGGACATTTAATCTTTCAATGTCCTTCTTCTTTACAATAGCGATATTGATTTCTACCAATATTCTTATAGGCACCTCTATTCTTCAATTTTGAGCGGTTGAACTGGCGACGGTTTGGATCACGTTCTTGAACTGCTAATGTATCTCCCGATGCCTTCTCGGAGGGTTCGCCATCACTCTTCCTCAGTTCATAATTCACCAACGTCGAGGTCACCTCCTTGTAGCTAACTGTTGTTCTTTCATTGATCATAGTAAGAACGAACGTACCATAATCATCCTCGGGCAACGAACACAATAGTAACATCGAATTATCTTCATCCTCAACCATGATATCCACATTGGTCATATCTGAAAGTAGCTTCATGAAATTATTGACATGCTCCCTAATGGAAACTCCCATCTTCATCTTGAATTGGTAAAACCTCTTCTTCAAGTGAAGCCGATTCTAAATACTCTTCGTAAGATACTTCTCATTGAGTGTTTCCCACATTCTCTTCATCGACGTCTCATTCATCACATCATAAATAAGATCCGGCGTTAAGTATGGCCGAATAACTCCACAAGCCCTACTATTCATTTTCTTCCAAACCTTATCCTCCATGTCAGTGGGTTTCTTTTGTAACTCAAGAGTCTGCTCCAAATTCTGTGCATCCAATACATCCATCACCTGGCACCTCCACAAAACAAAATTAATCTTTCCATCGAATTTCGGAACATCAATCTTCGTATTATATTGATGATCGGACTCTGTACCGTATTTGTAAGAGACGAACCTGATGTGCTTGCCTCTCTCATATTGTCGAAGTAACTCTTCAGATAGGAATCTTTCACCGAATCCTTCGAACAAGTCTCAAGCCGAATCTGAAGCTCTGATACCACTTGTTGTGCACGGCGGAAGCTCGAAACCACACGAACAAGAACGAGATAAATCACAACCAATAAGCCAAACACAATACCATAGTAAGACAAATGAATTTACGTGGTTCAGAGGGGGGGGGGGGGGGTTCTTATTATTAGAAATCAAGAGAATACAAATAGGGTTACAAATCTTACCAAATAAACCCTAAAATAAAGCCTCTAGATCTCTCACAAATCTCCCACAAATTGGATGCAACAACCCCTTCTCAAAGACTTCTTAAAAAACGTCATTGCTTAACCCTAATTAATTAGGATTAGACTTATATATCAACTCAGAAACGAAACGGGTTGAAAACCAAAACCCAACTACAGACCCGACTCGCGATCGACCGCAGAACCACTCGCGGTCGATCGGACAGAACGACAGAAACAAAAAATCAATTACGAGCCACTCGCGGTCGACCGCAAAAAGTCCAGAGACTTTTCTCTGATGCGTGCACATTGGCGATCGACCCCGCACAACACCCAAACCTGTTCCTTCCTTTTTTCCTGCGATCATCATCGCTGTGCTCGCTATTTCTTCAACTTGGAGAATCTTGTCAGAGCACTTTCTACTTCTAATAGGTCATGATGCATCCACACATCTTCTATGATTTAGCTGTCATTTAGGGGTCTTTCAAGGTGATTCAAGTTGTTTCCCTCCCTATAAAGAGTTTAAAATACATCAGAACAATTCATTCACATGCTGATAATTATGTTATCAAGATTTAAAAGATATTTAGGTCAAGATTGGAGAGGTTTGTCATAATTGTATTCATAATATTCTTTTCTAAGACAGTTTTCCCCTGTGAATAAACAATCAAATTTTACAGACTGAAGTTCATCCTAGTTGGCCAACAGCGCAGTGCAATGAACCTTCCTACTGTATCAGAGCACTATGCACGAGCCCAAATCTTCTCCGATCGCCTATCCCCTCCGAAACAGGTAACACCAAAGCAACCGTCAAAACCTAAGCGGGGGCAATTTATTAACCAATCACGAGATGCCACGTTGATGATAGATAGAGAAGCTGCTACAGCTGATCCCTGAGCCCCTGGGTAAGAATTCCCTATTTTATTTTCTTTAGTAGTAAAGTACTGACAAGGAGGAAAATAAATGGCATTAATGAGAATCCTACGTACAGTACAGGATGCAGCGTGCCGTGGGCCGCGGTGGACCCCTCTGCCGCCCAATTGGGAGAGTGGATTATGCGTGTAAGCCAAGGGCTTACTCTCTCTTGCATAACAATACAATTAAATCCCGGATTTTACATAGCTCTCCCATGAAACTTTTTGCTATTGCACTCTAGCCTATTATGATTTTTCTCATCACATATTATAGTTCTTGTGATCTACATTAGAAAAACAAAGTCTAGGTTCTGCTTAAATGTTTTCTGTAACTACCTAACATCTTTTCTATTGCTTCAAGAGAAGAGGAATTAGTTTAAAGGTAGAATCCTTAATATGAAGAGAAGAAAATAAGCTATTTTTGTTATTTTATTCAATACAACTATAATTAGTGATTCCTTTTTCTATTAAATGCAAGTTGTATTTGAATAAAAGTAATTGGAGCCAAAGTTGTTCAACTACATTCAATTAACAAATGTTTCACAAGCTGTTGCAACACACTTCCTTTTTTCAAGGGCTTAAATATGCTAAATTGCATAGTTGCAACTTAATACAAATTGAAGATTGTTCCGATAAAATAAATTTAAAACATATATTGCTTTAAAAATATTTATTATTCCAATTTCTATTAATTACAAAGAAAGTTTGGTTGGACTTGAGTTACAAAAAATCTTAATAGCTGATGTTTTGTGATAAAAGAAAAATAATATTAGATATGATGCGTCACTTAATTATGAAAACGAGCTATTCAGAATAGGAGTTGTTTATTTAGTAGCTTATTTAGAAAAATAGTTTAAGAGTATCTTTTGTGAGAAAATCAAAGTATCTTAGAGTCCAAAGAAATATACTAAATATAAAATAATAAATTGATAGGGACCAATACATACAATTAAAAGTACCAAATATCTCCCAAACCGCTATGGCAAAATCAAAACCACCATCTTGCAGGAAGAAGAAGAAATCCAAGCCAAAATTCCAGCTGGCCCCTCCCACTACTCCCCAACTCCCAACCCGCACCCTTTCCCTCTTACCCAAAAGTCCAAAACCCATTTTTTTTTTATTCCGATTTTTTAATTCAAATCCTATTCACTCCGTTACTCCAAAGGGGCAGCCCACTAAATCAAACAAACAAAAAAGGGGAAAAAGGAAAGAAAGATTTTTTTTTTGATCGATGCAGAGGAGGAAGGCGATGACTTGGTCGCGGGTGGCGAAATCGGCACAGGCGCTGGCTGCACACGGTTTCCTCTTTTGCTTCACCTTCTTCCTCGCACTCAAGGTCGACGGCCGTACTACTTATTCTTGGTGGTAATTTTTCAATTTAGCCTTCTATTTTGTTTTTTATTGCAAATTTTGAGTGTTTTTGTTGATTCTGGGAGTTTCCAGTTGCAGCCAGACACAGATTCTTTCTTTGTTTGTAATATTGATAAAGATCCGTTTGAAAGTTTGATGGAATTTCTCTTATGAGTAAATTCGTCTCTGTAGCTTCTTCCTTCGGTTAATGACAAATTCGTAGAACCTAGCAAGTTTGTTGAAATTTGATCACTTAGACTTCAAATAGAAGATATAGAAATCGCGAATTTCCCCTTTAAAAATTACACTGCAAATAGTAAGATTTGTTGATGATTCCCCCCTTTTCCAGTACATGAAAGAAGTAAAAAAGAAGGGAAATTTAGCCTGTGCATTTTGTAAATAATTCAATTTACATTTATTATTCACGATGAAACTGTGTAGGTTGTATTGTTTCACTAATAATGTTCCAAGGATTTCACACGTCTGCAATTCGATTAGAAGGAATTAAAATGTTGGTTTCAGTCTAAATGTTGCTGGTAGCATTTCATCCAAAACAGTCTAATTCAAGAAGCCGAGGTGCTACATTATTATGACTTGCGTCCAGTGAAAGTCAGTGGATTCAAGCCTTTGTCATATCATGGTTCCCATACTATAAACTTTGTTTACGACATTGCTCGTAAGCAAGACCATTAGGCTTTTGCCCTCTTTCCACCCTGTAAGACTGCAGCAATGTTCTTTTCATTTAATTGAACAAGTGCTTATATTAGTTTGTGACCTTATGATGATCAGTAACCTAGAAAAAATAGATTTTTATAGAGTTTGTAATGAGGATACTCTTATGTGAATGTGCATGACATCATATCCATCAAATATTTGATACTTCATGATCATATTTATTCAGATCTGCGGAATTCTACTTTAAGTACTTAACTCAAGGTGTATCAGAAATTGATATATTTGAATTTCACAAGCTTGTAAACTTTACTGTGTTCTGGCCTTGTAAAACTGAAGAACACTGAAGATGTTGCTACTAGTCCATGAACTTAATGCCCCTCTGAAAAATGCAGGATTATTTTTGTCCCGCTTTGGCTGTTTCACACTGTTGTTGCACGGGGAAGGTTCTCCTTGCCTGCTCCATCAGTGCCTCACGATCGGCATGTATGATTTCATAGCTCATGCCTTCTTGAAGATATGTTTATACTGAGTTGTCTCATTTTAATTGGAAAGTCTTCTGTGATTATCTACTGATGATGAATATTTCTGTGCTCTCTACAGTGGGCACCTTGTCATGCTGTTGTTGCTACACCACTGCTAGTTGCATTCGAGCTACTTCTTTGTATATACCTTGAGAGCTTGAAGGGTAAATAGTAGGGAAATTATAGAGTAGACAAATGTATGCTGCATCGTACTGCTGCTTGCCAGTTAATCATATTTTGTTAAATGTGCACGTGTCTCATGTAATTATGGCCAATTTATAATTATTTTACAACATTGGCTTGTTATCCTTGCATCTGCTTCTTCCTCAAATTTTCCCCCAAATGCTTGCAGTTTACGAGCACCCTGCTCTGAATTTAAAGATTGTTTTCCTTCCTCTCTTAGCCTTTGAAGTGATCATTCTTGCTGACAATTTCAGGTGCGTTTTTCTTAATTTACCATTTTTCTGCTTATATCAACTTAGTATTTGTATTTGAAAGTTGATACTTTGCTGTTCAGAAACTTAACTGGGGCTCATTTACTGTGGTCTTCTTGTTATACTCTTCTCCACCTTTATATTATTGCTGCTTTTTCCATGTTTTCTTCTTTGTTGATCTAGGCCTAAGTTAGTAATCTTGCATCACAATGTTAGCTTACAGAAAGCGAATAAGACAGTACAAGTATAGTAGTTGGATAGCTTTAAGAACATTAAAGTGGCTAGATGACATGAACTAGAAAAGCAACATATTGTAGTTTTCCTTGCCTGATAATCTTCTTGGACCGATCAAAATGCATAAGGTTTTTGCATATGGAAAAAGTAACCAGTCGAATATCAACAGGTAAGGTATTGAAGAGATTGAATTTCCCTTTGGCTTCCCAGTGTGCTTTATGCAATGATCATAAGGTGGACGACATCAAACATTCATTTGTTTCGAGGGGAGCTAGCTACAGATCTGTGCAGTTCTTTGAAAAATCTTCTGCTTCATAATGTTACCTTTTCCTCTTCTTGGTTAAGTCAAGACTTTGGAATATAAGAAGGTAGTCAGACATGCCACATTGAGAGAGAACTTTTGCTAGGGAGAAGAGCTACTGCAATACAACATCATATACTTATTAAACAGGACATAGACTGGAGCCTCTAGAACGGTCGTTCTAAAGAAGATAAGCTCTTCTACAGATGAAATAACTAGGTGGTAACCTCTCTCAGAATCAGTGTGCTCAATGCACGTGGCGGGACAAAATGCATACTTTGAGCAGTAGTAGATGGTGGTTGACTTAGTAGAGGCAATTCTTTTTTGGGGTTTTATCATAATAGACCTGAGATTCTTAAGATTTTATCATATTAGAACACCCAAATCTTCACATTTCTATCTTATTCCCCCAAATTCATTTAGTGATTTAAAATAACACCCTTTAAAAATAAGATTTTATCATATTGGAATCTAAATTATTTCTTATTTTTATCTTAGACCCCAACATTTTATATTTCTAAATAACACCCCCAAATCTATTAATTTCAAGAGTTAACCATACTACGGTTACAATTATAGACAAAATCCAACGGGTGTTATTTTAGAATAACTTAAAGAGTTGGGGGTTCTAAATTAGAAAATGTGCCGATTGTTGTGTGTGTGTGTGTGTGTGTGTGTGTGTGTGTTGGGGGGGGGGGAAATATAAGACTAAGAAAGAATTTAGGGTCTAATATGACAAAAGCCCCTTTGTTTTTGTTTTGCCTTTGTTTTTATGAAGGTTTATGACCATTGCTTCAGTTCAAAATTTGAATCTTCGAGATGACTTCTCATAGAGAGAGGATTTAGTTGAGTGTTTCTTCGATAAAAAAGAGTGGTTGTGTTGCTGATCTGGCCAAGTATCAATCGTGTAATCGGACGTTTGCTAATTGGTGGATTATAGCACAATTTCAATCGAGAATGAATTACTCAGTTAAGCATATCTATGGGCCCTTTTTTTTTGCTATATGAAATCAAAGTATAAGAGTGTTTTCATGTTGGAAAGGTTAGTTGACTGACAGAAAAATATAATTTGTTGTGATTTTATGCTCGTGTACTATATATATCCTACGGTGCTCCTAGGTTGATAGTCTACCGAAGACAATGGTCCACTTTTCCACTTTGTTCTATTTGTTGGTCTGTTATGAGTGTCAGAACTCTTAATTGGTATGAGTCATGAGGTTAGCTCCATAGGCACATGGTATGTAACTCTTCCGCCTTACATATTAAATATATCGAAGGCATGGTTCCTAGCAAAGTTTCAGTTCATGTTAATAAAAACTTTATTGCAAAGCCACTCTTCAACTGCAGCAAGCAACAACAACAAAATCCCTTGCTGAAATCTTTCTTGTGTATTCACATCTTTAAGGGCCATCTCCTCTATTAAATGTCCTCGATACATATATCAATATTGCAGTTTATTGGAACTAATGACATAAACCATGCTTGTGCTTGAACCATGCCATAAAATTCAGGAAATTACAGAAGATAACAGGCTTGAACCATGCCATAATTTTCAGGAAATTACAGAAGATAACAATATGGGAAATATTGTATGAAGTCTAGAACTTCCATTAATGTTTATCAGTTACAGTTTTGTATGAGCACATGATTTAATACAGAACAATTATTGTGGAAACTGCAGAAATAATTAAATACAGAACAATTATTGTGGAAACTGCAGAAATAATTAACATAAATACTAATGAAGAGCTAAGACATTCGAAGTACTAAAAAAATTATATTTAGTAGATATGATAACAATAGTAAAGACAAATAAAAAGTGCATCTTTGAGGCTTGGTTTTGTAGGGGGTTTGAGGAGGTGACGGGAGGTACAATTAGGTGGAGGGATGAACATCCCTTTAAGCCTGTATGTTGACGGGAGGTACAATTAGGTGGAGGGATGAACATCCCTTTAAGCCTGTATGTTTGGTTGGAGGGGAGGAGAGATGCATGCTTTTGTAGTTCATTTTCTCTCTCTTGTGTCTTCACAAATTGGAGGGATACTTCTTACGCTAACTTTTTAGTTCATTTTGTGGTGTCCCTCCCTCCCTTCCCCTCCCCTCACTCTACCTCCCCTTCTAAAAACCCCCCACCAAAGGCAAAACTAATTTGTGTCCTTCCCCTCCCCTCACCATCCCTCCTACCAAACCAAGCTTGAGAGGACTTGTCATATCGCATGTTGACGAATGCAACCAGAACTGTGTTAGCTACATGTTCTGTTCTTTACAATAGCATGCATTCTCTAAGGGTTAATCTCGTGTAGATCTACCAAAGGTTTCTAGTTATCAGCTGCCTAGTGCAAGCCTCTTCTATCCGGGCTAAGGGCTTTAGGACATTGAATGCATTATTGTGGAGTCAGCTAAAAAGCAAAGCAATCATGCTGCTGGGATGCAAAAAATACCCAATTTCTTATTCACTTTCAAAAGGCTTGCTTAAGTCAGCCATGCATAATCCTCCTTCATTTAGAGGTGATTAGAAGGAATGCATGATATTAAATTGTTAGTGCTTTAAGCATGAATTTTGGTTATGACAATCCCTGTATGGACAAGGTTTTCTTGAGAATAGACACATCCTTGAGACAACTAATGATCATATTTTGTCTCTGACTTGAAATTGTGATCAACGATTCTTATGTTTTTTGTTAGACATAGCATATCTGTGATTGTTTAGAATCGGATACTGATCATTCTAGAGTTTCATTTGGGCTTGCTAATTGGTTAACAAAGTACTTGCTTCCCTTATATTGTGTTCCTCTCCTCATTCAGAATGTGTAAAGCTCTGATGCCGGGAGATGAAGAAAGTATGAGCGATGAAGCTATATGGGAGACGCTTCCTGTAAGTTTTGTTGCAGTTAATATTTATGAATCTACTCCTCTATACTTGAAGGAGAATCCAAAGAATTGCTGTTCTTACGACAGTAAATGCTACAGTAATACTATAGCATGAACAACTGGTCCTATGCACTCGAAGATACTGTTTAAACTACAGTATTTTACTGTAGTATGAATAATAAATCGATTCTGGTTCTCTGCACTCAAAGATACCATTCACACCACAATATTACTGTAGCATAAACACTAAATCAATCTGCTCCTCCATACTTAAAGTCAGTATTCATGCTATAGTATATATTGTAACATAAATAGTAAAGCAAATCAAATGTATTAAAACTTGGATCTTTCATTAAGTATAGAGGAGTAGCTATGATTTCTAAATCAGATGTATTAAAACTTGTATCCTTCTTTAAGTATAGAGGAGTAGATATGATTTCTAATTTTAAGCATACAATAATTATATCAAATGTATTAAAATTTAGAGGGAGACAAGTTCAAAATGCAGTGCTTAAAAAAATAGGGGGCCGTGCTTTGCACGGGGTGCATACTAGTATTACGATAATGTGATGTGCCTTATAAATATCTGTGCTGATATTGGCAATTCTAGATTTTATTCTTATTAACAGTCTGCATGTTTTCACAGTAAAGGTCAGGGAAGAAATCTTTCTTGTCCCCACCCACCCCACCCTAAACTCACACTTCCCTTAATCCAACCCAAAAATGAAGGGAAAAAAGAAAAGAAAGAATCCATATATCTAATTTTAACTCCAAATAATGTGTTACACTGGATAAGTATTGTAACTGAATGCATTTTTCATTTCCTGTACAGAAGGAAGGAGAATTGGCTGCTCTATGATGAGCAACCATCTAGTCATCCTCATTTATTTTCTAAGTCATTAATTATTTGTATGCTTAATGAGTAGAGGCAAAATCTATGTTTTTTCATGGAGAAGTATATTTCAATTCTTCTCTGTTTAACCAAATAAATGGCAGATTTGTTTAATCTCTTTCTTGCTTTCCACTACTAAATCATTGTCTGTATGTCTTAGCACTTTTGGGTCGCGATTTCCATGGTGTTCCTTGTAGCAGCTACGACTTTCACACTGCTTAAATTATGTGGTAAAACATCTGTGCTTGCTTTGACTTTTGATAAGTTTTACTGGAATTTACTTGAATTGTTAGCATTGAACTTTGTCTGATTGCTTTATTTGTTTTTATTAAGTTCAACTTAATACTAAATTCACTTGTTTCTACTTCCATTTATCATTAATCTTCATAAAGTCTACTGGCTAGGTGAAGATAAAATCACTTGTCTGTTAGTCCAAACAAGGGTAATTGAGACTAGTTGTCATATTGAGAATGAAAATACATTCATTCAGAGTAGTTGTCCCATTGATAATGAAAATATATAGGTGCCAATATTTATGAAATTAAGCAAAGAAAGTGCTTTCGAGTGGTAGGGCAAGAGAGCAATACTGGAACCCGTGTTCAAATCCTTAGAGCATCATTAGAGCTCTGTTTTTTTGAAGATTTGAGAGTGAAGGAGCGTGTTAGAATATAAAAAATATAATACTTAACTCTCGCTGCAACTTCAGAGTTTTGATGTTATGGTTAGAGAGACTTTAAGATGATGTCATAGCAACCCGGGTTCAAATCCCACCAGCCATGAATTTAAAGCGGAATTTCTAAAAATTATCACCGTCGCGTGAATCTAGGTTTCGGCCCATAAAAAGAGCGCTTGACCTGCATGGATATGCTATTCAATTCTCACCAAAACTTCAGAGTTTTAATGTAATGGTTAGAGGGACTGTAAGAGAGTGAAGTGACATTCTTGTCTGATTCTTTTGGCGATTGTCACAAGTTAATAGCCACTAAGGCTGCTGAGCAGTAAGGGGTCTGAATTAAGGGAGGTTCTAGGCTATGTTCGTTGTTAAAAGCATGTCCCAAAAAAAAAGGTTGTTTAAGAGCATTGGTAAAGGGTAAGTTCTTTGAGATCCCTGTTTCAGTAGTAGCAGTAAGAAACTATATTAGAGATGTTGTGGCACTAAGCTCTCTATTATTAGCCAGTAGCCACCAAAAAAAAACCCTAAAAATTCCTTAGTATTGGTTATACAATCAACTACCGGATGCACTTGGACCTTTAAGTATCCTGTCTTATATATATTCCGCTTTTGAGACTTTGATTGGGTGTCCCAACTTAATTTTGATTTATCCAAGTTGCAGACTCCCAATGCATTTTGGCTGGCAATGGCACTTCAAAAGTTCCTTATAGACTTTCACTAGAAAAAGAATGAATGGGATATGGCTAATTTGGTCTCAGTCTGACTGTGGGAAGTTTTCGGATAAATTTAGCGGACTTCTATGCCATTCAACCAAAGTTTACAGTAGAATCCTAATTTTGAAAATGGAGTCCAAGGAGATATTTGACCAGCCCTTGATAATTGCAACCTTCTACTGTGGATTGCCCCCTTTCAGGGCTTATCAGTAAAGATATTATAGCCGGAAGCAATTAAGGTGAATGTGATGCAGATTATGTATCAATTCTGGAAAGTTAATTTATCATCTTCTTACTCCCTTTACAGTTTCATAGTGACATTCAGTAAATCTATTCTTGGGAGCAATCCTTGTATTGCATGATTGCTTTCTTTGTTGGAAAGGTTCATACTTAGCCTGGAGTGTGGATTCACTGGATCAGTACTGTGAAGCTTAACCACGTGAAATGAGACTTTAGGAGTTGAATTGAAATTAAGTATTTTATAAGGGGAGTTGGCTTTACTACTCAAAAGGAAAGGGGGAAAAAACCCAATTTCAATATTGTCGCAGCAATAACGGAAAGCCCAATCAAGAGAAAGGAGCTCTAATAAACTCTGATGTTATGTACAGGAAGGTATTAGATGTCTGGTTAAAAAATACATGCTATTGATCTTCTGTTCTTCATCTACAAGCGTACAATTAGTCAGTCCAAGAAATTTGAATGATGTCGTTGTTTTCTTCTTGTGTGTGTGTATGGAGTTCATTAAGAATCAACTTAGCATTTTTTATTTGACCATTACAGTTTGTCTGATTTTTAATGCATGCTCGGATGACTTTGGTGGAGGGAGTTTAAATTTATAAAGTGTGTACTAATATAAATTTGATAAATATTGCAGGTGATGTAGGTGCCTTGGGCTGGTGGGACTTATTTATAAACTTCGGGTAACATTCATTAGTCTTCTTTATAAAGTTTGTTCAAAATCATTTGCAACGATACTTATGCTGAAATCTGTTTTCCTATCACACAGAATTGCAGAATGTTTTGCTTTTCTCGTTTGTACAAAATGGTCTAACCCGATGATACATAGACGCCCTAACCATAGTGAAGCTAGTTCGTCTTCTTCAGCAATTAGATATCGTGATTGGAATAGTGGCCTAATGTTTTCTTCAATAGAGGACAGTGACCAGGACAGACTGTGTGGCCTGCAAGACATAGGCGGCCACATTATGAAAGTTCCACTTGTTGCTTTCCAAGTTCTGCTATGTATGCGGTTAGAGGTATGTTATTTGAAGCTCTCAACTGTTTTTGGTTCCATTAACCTATGTGAGATCATTCGACTTGGCTTGTAAAACGATTGCACGTAAAGTGTGATAACTAATTACATATGTTCCCTATGATGTAATGAGGTATCAGTTACTCTTGCTAAACGAAAACATGAGCATGTAAAGTGTGATAAATAGAAAATGACGGAATCTCAAAACTGTGAAATTGAAGTACGTGGACTTTATAATGTGCTATCCGTTGTAATCTGGAGACGGTTAAGCCCAAAGATCTGTGATGTTTCTAATTGTTTACATTTAGGTTTATCCTGGTAAAGTGGTGACAGTTTTGCTAGAAATGTTTACTTTTAAGATAGCTTTAAGAGCTTTTCCCATGCAGCTGGTTCGTTTCCATGACACAAGACAGTTACTATGAACTATTACCTTAAGAAGCCATCTGATAAGTGGTGACCAGGGAGATATAAAAGACCATGATTTTAACAAATGTCAACAGAATTACTGAATCAGATATGTTCTGGTAATTAGTGGATGTACTTGCAAAGCAATAACTAGTACTAGGGAAGATTTTTCAGGAATCAGATGCATCAACGGGTCAAAAGATCGCATATTATCTGATCCAGTGATCAGTTTAGCAGTGGCGTTGGTGCTGTAGGATCTAATTCAAATTTGGTCAGTGGCTTGGAGGCTTGAGAAATACTATCGTCATGATTTATTTTATTGAGGTTAGTTGGCTGTGAAGGAGAATGAATTGTGAATCCGATAATGATTTATTCTCCTTCACAGCCAACTATTAAATTCAGAGACCCAGTAAACATCAGGTTAATTTACTTTCTTCACATGGAAGTTTTGTTCAGATTTGCTCTAATAGATGAAACTTCAAATCAGAAACCCGACTACATGGGGTTGTTTTATTTGCAAGCCTTATCTGGACACTATCTGCTGAGTTTCGTTAGCCTATATATCTGACTAAGTGACTAACAATATAGGTCTACCACCATGTAAAGTTGCCTCTAATCTAAAGCTTTAGTACACAGCCCCATCTTGCCCGGAATTCATAAGCAGAACTCATATAGGTCAATGTGTTATGTTCACAGCTAGTTTTCAGAATCTTCTTTTCATTTTCTGTATATTCTTTCTCGACATTTGGCTTAACTTAGTGCAAGC